AGCAGTTCGAAACTACCAGCTTTTCCATGGTAGAATAGTGAGGCTTTCTGCACCTGTAAAGATTTACAGCCTCAGAAACCCTGTGCAGGGTCACTATAAGTCAGAATCAACTCCAGGGCACACCACCACAATCACCCTCTAGCCAGTGAATTGCTCTTTTCCCTTCCTACCCCTGGTAACCATCAAAACATGTTTATTTTAGTATGAAAACCTTTTCTTGAGTTTTTACAATTTGTGGCTTCTTATAACATTTGTCCTTCTGTGATTGACTAAAGCGAATGTCCTACAGTTTCATCCATGTCATGAGATATTTTGCAGGTTCAATATTACTCTTCAAAGTTGCATAGTATTCCACTATGTGTATGTACCAAAGTTTGTTTATCCACTCTTCCATTGATGGGCATTTAGGCTGTCTCCATCTTTTTGTTATTGTGGATATGCTGTGTGCATATATCTACTCATTTCCTGGCTCTTATTTCTTATGGATATATACCAAGTAGAGAGATTGTTGGGTCATATTATTTTTATTTACAACTTACTGAGGAAGTGTCACACCGTTTTCCAAGTGGTTGAACCATTTTATAGTCTCACCAGCAATGCTGGAGGGTCCTAGTCTCTGCACACTTGTACCAGCATTTATTATTTTTTTGTTTTGGGTTTTGTTTTTGTTTGTTTGTTTGTTTTTCACTTTGATGTTAATGCTGGTATGAGATGATATATCATTGTTGTTTTGATTTGCATCTCTCTAATGACTAAAGATTATGAACACTTCTTCATATGTTTGTTGTCAGCCTGAAAGTCTTCCTTAGTGAAGTTCTTTGGTGAATAGTGTCTGTTCATGGTCTGTGTCCACTTTTTAATTGGACTTCTTTGTAGTTTTCTATAAATTTTACAGATTAGTCCCTTGTCTGACATGCCCTTGCAAAAAACGTTTCCCAATCTGTTGGCTCCCTTTTTCTCTTTTGGTGATTTCTTTTGATGCACATAAGTGACTAAATTTTAGAAGGTTCCAGTCATCTATTTTGCCTTTTTCTATTTGTGTGTTTTTAGTAATGTTGGTTAGAGGATTTATGCCATTTTAAGAGCTCCTAAATTTGTCCGTATTTTTCCATTGATGATCTTTATAGTTCTAGGTTTTATATTTAGGTCTTTAATCCATACTGAATTTGGTTTTGTGTATGGTGTGAGATACTAATCTTTTTTCATTCTTCTAAAAATGGATTTCCAGTTTGGCCAGTACCATTTGTTGGAAATGTTAGCTGTTGTTGTTGTTATGTGCCATCAAGTTGATACTGACTCATAGCAACCCTATGAACAACAGAGCAAAACACTGCTTGGTCCTGGGCCAACATCATAATCATTGCCCATCTCTGTAGCAACTGTCTAGCTAGACCCATTAAATGTATTTGGCCTTTTGTCAAAGATCAGCTGACTGTATGTAGCTAGACTTACTTCTGTGTTCCCAACTCTGTTTCATTGATGTATGCATCTTTTGTGATACCAGTATGAGGCTGTTTTAAACATTGAAGCTGTGTAATAAATTTTGAGATCAGTAAGTGAGAGAACTCCAGTTTTGTTCTTCTTCTTAAGCAGTGCTTTGCTTATTCAAGATCTCTTTCCTTTCTAACAATGTTCGTGATCATTTTTTCCATCTCTTTAGAGAATGATGTTGGAATCATCTCCAAACAGCTGTGATCTCCAGGGTAGCTGAGGGTGTATGTGGATAGGTGGGGTCTGGCCTTGCCTCTGGCCATCAAGGGAGTGTGGGGAACAAGGAAAATATTGTTTCTTTGTCTCTGTGAGCCACAGATATTTTTTTGCAATGCCAATAACTTTTCTTGTCTCTGAAGCCACTCACAAAAACTCAAGATGGCTGCATGCATCTGGTCCCCAGGTTCTTCTTTTGCTGTGTCTGCTCAGCTCTCTCCCTCGTAAGCCTCCAATTCACTTCTCTATCTCTTCATCTGAAGCTCAGAGTTTCAGGACTATTTTCTACATCTGCTTCATTTGATTATCATATCTTTCTTAGAGAGGGTCCAAATAGCCTTTCTGCCAAGTCTGCCATTTTGCCACCTCCTCTCCTTTCATTGTCTTTTGATATTGCCTGCATTGTTCATTAATTTGCCCATAGAATCATTCCTTTTTGCTTTTTTAAGTTGAGGCTTGAATTTTTTCTTCAGTTCTTTCAGCTTGAGAAATGTTGTTTGTACTCTTCTGTTTTTCTATCTTCAGGTCTTTGGACATTTCATTATAATACTTTATCTTCTTGCCCTTCACTTTGAACAAACTGAGAGACAAGAGACAGAAATACACATGGACAAATTTAAGTAGACATACCTTTGTTATGCCATGGTCCTGTAGGATAAGACCTGGTCTGCTAACCACAAGGTCTGTGGTCCAAACCCACCATCAGCTCCTTGGAAACCGTATACACAGTCGCTATGAGTTGGAACAAAATCAGTGGCACATAACACAACACTAATCCTGTTGTGTTGGAGGTTATGTGTCATTGAGTGGGTATAAACCCATAGCAACCCTGTATAGGTTTTCTGAGGCTATAATATGTAAGGGAGCAGAACACCTCAGGTTTCTCCTGTTGAATGACTGGTAGTTTTGAACTGTTGATCTTGTGGTTGGCTGCTGAACTTGTATACCTCAAGTATTGGATTCTTTATATAACATTTCTTGGTTTTTGCTATTGAAACAAAAAGTAAGTTTTCTGATATTAAGCTTTACAAATGTATGTATCTTTAAAAATATTAGGAGGATAGGTATTTTTAGTTTCATTGAACTTTTTGAGTTTGAAAGTGGTTTAAATTACACATGGAATGTCTGAAACTAAATATTTATATACTTAAGGTAAGTTTGTTATGACCTAATATTTTGAAAGCTATTTTCCAACTTCCTTCATTGGACATGTTAATGAGCAACACAGACAACTATACTTTATTTGCATTTTCCCTAAAAGGAAATTGAATGGAAAAATGATGTCTCAAACACCTTTTAAGTTCAGTGTAGTGTTATGATATCAAGTAGTATTGCATCAAAAATAATGATGTTGGAATCTGCTTTTTTTTGAAGCCATTAATTTTAGTCATATTTACTTGAAAATTTAATAAATTCATATTACATTCTGTCTCTTTCTTAGTATGGGGTGAGATATCTTAGGCATCCAGCTTCTAATTTTAACTTCTGATATCATGTGTACATTTCTTTAAAAAATATTATTAACAATAAATATATATTATTCACAGATATTGGCTGACCTAGAAAACCATGCATTATTTAAGAATGATCTCGAATGTCAAAAGCTGATTCTAGAAGCAATGAAATACCACCTATTGCCAGAAAGAAGAACTTTAATGCAAAGCCCAAGAACTAAACCTAGAAAATCTACAGTTGGAACTCTGTATGCTGTTGGAGGAATGGATAACAATAAAGGTATACAATTCCAGATCTATATGGCACATAAAAACAAGAACAACAACAATGTAATACACATTGCATGTTATAAGACAGCATCATTTTAATACTCTAATCAGTAACACAACAACAAATGCTATATTTACTTAGCTTTGTCCATTGTGTTTTAAGATTAAGGGGACCAGTAGAAGGACATCCTTTAATTTTCAGTCTGTAGTCTCTAATTTTGTTATTTGAGTTTAAATTCTTAACCCATTTCTTGTATATTATATACATGAGGAGACTTCATAGGAAATAAAAAAGGGAATTTGAGGTACACATTTAGGAAACAGAAGCCAAATTGCTTGTTGGATGTATTCAGAATTATTTTTCAATCATAGGCAAAATATATGTAATGTGCCCGGCACATTCAGCTGAGAATTTAATTATGAAGAAGAGAAAGCAGAGAAAGAAAGAGGAACTTATAAATGAGTATAATAACTTACAAATTTAATTTTACTGAACAATGCATTCCTTCAGGAAAGAAGTAACTAGTTTATTTAAAAACTAAACACATACTTTTCAAACCATTTATTCTTTCATTTATGTGGTGGTGGTGGGTATGTGCCGTGCAGTCAGTTCCAACACATAGCGACCCTATACAGGCTTTCCAAGGCTGTAAATCTTTATGGGAGCAGAAAGCCTCATCTTTCTCTTGCAGAACAGCTGTTAGTTTCGAACTGCTGACCCAGAGGTTAGCAGCACGATATGTAACCACTATGCTACCAGAGCTCCTTCTTTTATGTAGTTATTGGTAAAATCCCCATGGATATTAATTCTCTTCCATCGACTTATGTGTATGATACTTTCTTTGAATAAGTACACAAGGCAGAATGCATATAAAAATAGAATTTTCAGATGCTTTAGTTTAATAAATGACACATTTAGATACAACAAATTTAGAGTGTATGTAAAAAGATGTAATTAGCAATAGTGGATGTTTATATTTCATTGAACATTTTTAAAGGAACTTTTTTGAAAGGATCACCTTTTAAGGAATTTGGTGATTGAATAAGCAGCATAAGTAGCAAGTGTACTTGAACTGCTGTGCATTGATTTCCAAAAATAGGAGCTAAAGGGAAATTTTTCATATAATTAATTGAGAAATACGTATACTTCAATTTGTCAGTTAAAGAGATACATTTTAGCTTTTACATAGTTTTCATTAGTTTGCTTCAGAAATTTAGCTCAATTTATTAGGAAATTGCTTTCCAGCAATTATCATGTGAGTAGCATGATACTTTATATAAAAATTAATGAAGGTTGAAGAAGATAGAATGCCTTTACAAGTATATACAAAATCGAAAGACTAGAAAGGAAAACCTCGCCAAAATGAGATAAATATGTCAGTTTTGAAGGTACTTAAAATATAACTAAGAAGACCTGTCTACTCAAACTAGAGTTGGCCTTAGTGACCTTGTTGTTGTTGTTGTTAAGTGCCATCGAGTCGGTTCCGACCCATAGCGACCCTGTACAGGGTTTCCGAGGGTGTAAATCTTTACGGGAGTA